TTTTTCGTTGTTGTTGTTGTTGTTGTAAACAAAACAACAAGAAAGGAGGGGAGTATCTATTGACTTATCCCTTTTTCTTTATTTTTGCATGTATTCAGTTATGGTTCCATATGTGCCTCGTATAGAATTAGAGAAGGTAAACTCAACTACACATATCGATAACGTCTCTCTTTTACCCCCCCCTCTCTATCTCTCTCTTCCTATATATTGATAGATGTGATCATAAAATTTATTTGACTTTATTCATTTATCATAACAACGGTTATTATTACTAATATTACAATTATCGTCTTATTGAGATAGTTTTTTTTTGCTTCAATAAAAGGTTGTTTAGTTTTTCCCTTCTTTTTTTTCTTTCTTTCTTTAAAAAGCACAAAAATGATAGTGATTTTTCACCTACCAATTTGTTACTATCTCTCTTGATGTATTTGATTAGATCTTGTGAATATAAATTAATATGATGTATTGAATGAATTCAAGCACAAATCACACAGAAAACCTATTTTGATCTTTATATATAGATATTTTTTTAATAAAAAAAAGAAGAGAAGAGAAAAAACTTTCAAATAACTGTCAGTGTTTGTGTTTTTTTGTTTCTTTTATGTTTTAATTTTGTTTCTCTTGGAACAATAAAATCGCATTATACACAATACAATTTTATTCCTAGAAACAATATGGATAAACAACCCATATCAACATGAATGAACCTATACATATATATATATATAAATAAAATATATATTTGAAGTTACTTTGCAAACATTTTGTTTTTATGTTTTGATTTAATTTCTCATTGTGTATGTTTATGATTGTTTGTATGGAGTCATGTTTATGAATGACATCATTATTATAATTACGTGTTATGAAATGACCAAAGGATTCAATCCTGTAGCTTTAAGTTGACTTCATTATTGACAATCAATGATTATTTCCATACATATTCTGTTGATTATTCTGATTCATAACAACCTTCAAGTTTATAAGTCAATAATTGACCAAGATTACTTACTTACTTACGCCTGTTACTCCTCGCAGAGGACTATAGGCTGCCTACCAGCACTCTCCATCCAACCCTGTCCTGGGCAATCATTTCCAGCTTTTTCCAGTTTTTATTCATCCTTTACATATCTACTTCTATTCCCCGATATAATGTGTTCTTTGGCCTTCTTCTTTTCCGCTTGCTTTTAGGATTCCAAGTTGGGGCTTGGTTCGTAATGCAGTTGTGGTGATTTTCGTAATATATATCCTATCCATTTCCATCGTCTTTTCCTAATTTCCTCCTTAAACTGGAAGCTGGTTTTTTCTCTATTGATCAAGATAAATATGCAAACATTTAAAGGATAGGCGAAATTATTTTTTTTCAAAAAGCTAGAATGAATGAATATGAGTATTTCAAAGAGTCACTGCTACTTTATGTTATCAATAAAGACTACTTTTCTGTTATCCTTGTCTTGTATTCAATTTATTAGTGTTTTGTCACATATGTACTTGTGTAGTGAAGACAATCGAATATATTTGAACACAAAGTTACAGAACATCTTAGTAAAATCTCAGAACCATATAATAAATACTCCATTTGTAAAATGTCATTCGGTTGTCTCAAACTTGACTGTTCCTTTTGCAAATATCAGTCAACCGTCTAAGATTTCATTGTTCTTTCGTTTCAGAACAAATAATTCTTTGTTTTCGTTTTCTTTTCTTCGTTCTTCTTAACCTTCTATCTCCAGACATTTCAATTTCGATTGATGAAAAATACTACTTATATCTGTCGACATCAGTAGCATACACCACACTCGTTGTAAGCATACCTGTCCTGTTGCTTTTTTTTGGAAAAAAAATATCCAACAGTAGGATTCAAAAGGAATTTTGAAAATATTCAATTGAATTTCTTTCCTTTTCCAGTTTATTAATCATAATCTATTCGAGATTAGTTTAATTTCCTTTGGTGCTCATATCAATGTATGTAGTAAACAGTGATCTTATTTCGTTCAAATATTGTAAAAGTAGCTCTTCTTCCTCAGGTGGTTTCAGTCAGGTTTGTTATGCCCCCAACGAAATCCTCACTTAAGATGGTTATAATAAATTTGAAAGCATAATGGCTTGATATAAAACTGCATAGCATTTTTCATTATGATGGAACCTGTAGTAAAATCCGAATAATCTTAGATTTTGATAAGCTACAAACAGCTATACAAAACTGCATTACGATTATTTACAGTCACGTATTAGATATTTACTATCAAAGTTTGATAACCATGCTATCGTAATATGTGATATGAATTTCGAATAACTGTTGCGTTATTTAGTCATTTAAACGGATTTTTTGATTTAGTTTTATTTGATGAATGAAATTCGCAAGAACTGGCGAATAGAAGTGTGGATTAATGGACCACGGATCAGTAACTAATGTCCTTCTTTGCTTAGGAGTACACAAATTCATTGAACTAAGTGGCTCGTGATTGTAATTCATTGTGTTTAACATTAAGCGATTGGCAAGAAGCTTTAGACCTATAAGTGTAACAAGTAGTTTAACATTTATTATTAAGCGAAACTTACTTTATGGTTCTTTGTAATGCTATTTCAATAAAAACATGTATTTCACTTCATGTTAACTGAAAAATGAAGGTTATGAGTAGTTGTCTAAAAGTAGAATGATTATTTGATTCGTATCATCACTACAAACATCACTTTTATACCCACTATGTATTCCAAGCATTTGCTTTTGGAGATTGTTGTATATCGGGGAACGTGTTGATACATTTTTAGTTGTTAATTAATCAGTAGACTTTCTGTGAAACAGAATGTTTTATTAACTTTATTCAATTAATTTATTTAGTATTGTCGATTAGACTATCTACTTTACATATATTAATGATTCATCAAGGTTTTGTAATCTAGCCCATGTCTAAGCATAATTAACACTATCCATCAATTACTTTTAATATCGAAATAAGTAATATTTACTAATGAGTTTATAGGTATCGATGCCAAAGTTTAACTTGATAGTTTCAAATAAATTGAGCGTTGGGTAGAAAGTTAATAATAAATCCATTTTTTTGTAATATTCCAATGGGAAGAAAAATTGTATTTCCGACGTTTTGCGACTTAATGTAAGCCACTTCTTCTGAGTAGATTGAAGAAATGGCTTACACTAAGTTACAAAATGTCAGAAATACAATTTTTCTCATTGGAATATAAAAAGAAATGTGTTTCTTATTAATATTTACTAAATAAATATGTACACGTTTCTATCGGTCACGAGTCATGTTGCTAGATGCAGACTACTTGGTTGGGGTCCGCGTGACTATCGTAACCAATGGTTGTAGACTCTGGGTGACATGGCTCAGAATCTATCACAATGACGAAGGTGTATACACTCTCTGTCTTCCCCTAAACTAAGAGATTAAAATCGCTTCATATCTTTCTTTCTATGAACTAATTCTTACTTCCTGTACTATATCCTTATATGCAATCTTTCTTTTGTATATCACCACCTCTGAATTAACTACTTTTATGAATCCGGCGTTCATCTTGTTGTGTTAATGAGGTATGGCAACCTGGACCGATGCATATATATATCTGGTCCGACGTTGTAGCTGACTGACTATTGGTTACGAACTCAAGTAATTAGTGAATTATCTTGTGGTATGGACATTTTCAATAGCTTTATGTCGTAGTTGTTATTTGATAGTTAAAGTTATTTGTAGACCAGTCATCAGTTTACTTTAAATATATATTACAAATAATACTTGTGAAAGCCCTTAGTTTTTAGATAAGACTATGTGAAATACCTTAAATAGAGAGTTTTCAGGTTCTAATTGAGGCAGCATATAATCAATTTCAGTGTTAAATTTATTCATCTGATAATAATAATGATAATTATCCTATTTTTAACTGGTAGAATAAACGCATCTATGGCTAACAGTAAGATTCAGGACACGAGTTTCCTGCTAATTCGGACTTGTCAACTGAATATATGATCCCAATTTTTATATTCATATTGAGACTCAAACCATTGACTCTTGGTGACGTATCTGAAACAGGACAAAATTGGATTTCTATATTCCATTGATAGCTACAAATCCAATTATTCTATAAAATCTTTGAAAATTGCTTATTTTGAAGTAATCCACGCAGGATACATATATTCTTACAAATACTGATTAAGATTTAGTCATTATTATAAACTATTGGAAAGTTAAGATCTTTTGTAATGATATCACAATCTTGATGTCTTTCCGTGACATTTTTATTTATTTAAACACTTAAACATAGGTACAATAAGGAACTAAATGGATATGCGTTACATAAATCAGTCGATTCGTGTGAGGGCTGGATTAGTGCCTGGGTGCCCTTACCGAATCAGGTGGTTTTCTTAGGAGACCACACCCCGACTCTTTGATCTAAAGGTTTAATACACAGGGCAGTGGACCAACGTCAGGAGATGAAGTCCTCTGGTAGCTGGTGACCAACGATTGGTTCATACGCCATTTGTTCCTTCAGGATCCTGGAGCCAGCCCATGTGCACCATTGATTTGGAATCAGGGTTTTCCAACTTCCCTAGTTGAACTCTCCGTGTCCATCAACCCGATTAAAGCGTCGGACATTCGCTTTTCGTCCCCTCAATTCCGTAAGCAACACCCCTGTCTTGAGAATGTAGTGAGTAGGACTTCCCTGGCAGTGATTGTATGTACGTGGCCATGTGAGAGCACTTCGAGAGAGAGAGAGAGAGTTAACTCTCCCCAATCTCGGTTGTACCAGGGCATTTGGGATCCTTTTCGTGACATAATAGCTACATGTTCGATGATTATTATCCCAAACATGATCTTGTTGATCCTTTTTCTAATAATATCTTTGATATTCTTTTTACCATTTTCAGTCATTTCCAATGATTAACTACTTAATTCTCACATGAAACTGTTTATTATTATTATCAAGATATCTACTGTTTTCTTATATTAACTAATCATAAATATATGTTTGGATATTATTGAATTCTAGACAGTAATGTCGTCGTCTAATTTAGAAGCACCTCCATTAATGCGAAAATTATTAATTGGACAATTATTTCATAATACTGATAAATTGCCAATATATAATTCAATTCGACAAATTTGGGAAATGGATCTCCTTGACAACAACATCACCACTACCACCAATAATACTAATAATAGTGTTCTGAAGAAATTATCATGGTGTATGCTTTGGTTACAAGGTAGAATCATTAAAAATTATCAATCACCTAATAATAATAATAATAATAATTTCATATTAGATGATGGTACAGGTGAATTATTAATTATTTATGATTTAGACAAAAACCAACCAGTCAATTATAAAGTAAATATTGGAGATTATGTTGCTGTAATTGGTAAATTAGTTCAACCTAATAAAGATAATAATAATAATAATAATAATGATTATGATGATAAAAAGGAATGTCTAAATGGTTGGCATATTCTAGCTAAAAGTGTTACACATTTAACTGATCATATTATACAACAAGATAATGGTGAATTATTATATACATCATCATCGTCATCATCACAAAAGATCATGTCGAATTCAGCATTTTATGAATTATCTTGGCCTTTAGAAGTTATAGATATGACATATTCTGTATAAAATTGAAAATGTTTTGTAAATACTATTTTTTTTATAATGTAAAATAAAAATGTTCACATTGACGAATTTGTTTTATACTTGTTATTTAGTTTTCTGTTCAAGTATTCAAAAGTTTGAAGTGATTCATATTTCCTTACAGTTTATTTTAGATTGTTCAATAATTTAATAGTTGAATTCATGAGTCAATTGAAGATAGACCTGGAAGTACTGGACAGCTGTTTCATCCTAGTACAGGACTCCTCAGCAGTGCTCATCTACGATCCCACTCGCGGGATTTGAACCCATGACTTATTGATCTCGCGTACGAGCGCTTAACCTCTAGACCACTGAACTGACCGGCATTCAACGGCGTTAATGTCTAATTTCAATCAATCCCATTTCAACAATTACTGTCCAGTGATTACGTAGGGTCTTATAAAGTAACATATCACTGTAAATATCTTTAGAAAAGTGTAAAAATTATAATCAAGCGAAAAATTACAGCTTATTTTAAAATGTAATACGAAGTATTATTTTACAATGATTCTTAGTTATCTTTAATCTATACATTAAGAATTCAGTTAAACGTTCATATCCATTTTCAGCTATTTCATTTCAAGTGCCTGGATCGCATTAAAATCCTTAACATAAAACGTGTACTAGACTATGCTTCTTGTACATTTTGAATGAAATTTTTATGATCCTTCTTCCTGCATGCCTAAACTTTGAGACCTTCATTGATGTTTAAAATTCTGTTTAATATCACAAACACTATTGGTACAAGTTATCCATTTAGAAAGCGAACAGTATGTAAGTTTGTTTCGGCAGTAGTGCATAACTAGTTCAATCTGTGCAAAATTTAATAGTTAGGCATTTATTTATCAGAAGTGGTTTTGTGGAGATTGTAGTAATTTCAATAGTTACGATCATGAGTCAATGGGAGCTAGACCACCATGAAAAACCTGGAAGCACTGAACGGCCGTTTCGTTCTGTTGTGGGACTTCTCAGAAGTGTGCATCCATGACTCATGAACTCAACTATCGAAATTACTACAATCTCCACAAAACCCCATTCTGATATTAATCAACATATGCTCACTAGTGACGGTCTCCAAGAGGTATTTCCTCGATTTCTAGCGAGAAGCAGTGAACAGTGGAGTTCGACCGGGTCTGTTGTGAGATACTAACTCACTGATGACAATGGTGTCGCTGAATTTCGTGGATTAGTTGAACTTAAACAATAACACCATTGAATGCCGGTTCAGTGGTCTAGTGCTTAAGCGTGAGACCGATAGGTCGTGGGTTGGAATCTCGCGAGGCGGGATCGTGGATGCGCACTGATGAGGATTCCCATAGTAAGACGAGATGGCTGTCCAGTGCTTCCAGGTTTTCCATGGTGATCTAGCTTCAATTAACTCATGATCTCAACTATTGAGATTTATTTATCGTATATAAACACATTAATCTCAATATACATTTTGTACTGATATATGTCATTTTGAGGATTCGCATTGCGATAATTTATACTTGTTCATTTTACAGTTGTATTCTTATTTACACATCAAAAGAGACTAATTGTACCACTGAGTACCAAAGAGTAAAATAATCCAACCATAGTTATTTTCTTATCTATATAAACTACTATCTGAAATATTAATTTAATTCATTTGGTTTAATTATTTGACGTTTGATCATGAATTCCGAGTTTGAAGTTTACTTCTGCCTAATTTCGTAGGATTACCGATGATAAGTACGAAAACTTCTCGAAAATTGATTTCATTCTCGAACTGTTATAACCTTCTAGTTGAAGATAAGACAGGTAACTATATAGATATTACTTTCTTACTTACTTACGCCTGTTACTCCCAATGGAGGACAGGCCGCCGACCAGCATTCTCCAACCCACTCAGTACTGGGCATTTCTTTCTAGTTCTATCCAATTTTCGTTCATTTTTCTAATATCTGTCTCCATTTCTCGACGTAATTTTATTCTTTGATCTTCCTCTTTTCCTTTGGCCTTGAGGATTCTATGTGAGGGCTTGCCTCGTAACGCAGTTGGATGCTTTCTTCAATATGTATCCTATTCGCTTCCATCGCTTCTTCCTGACTTCTTCCTCCTCTGGAATCTGGTTTGTTCTCTCCCATATTAGGTTGTTGCTGGTAGTGTCTGTCCAACGGATCCGAAGTATTTTTCGTAGATAATTGTTAATAAACACTTATATCTTGTGGATGATGGCTTTCGTAGTTCTCCAGCTTTCCGCCCCATACAGTAGAACTGTGCAGTAGAACTCGTTCGAGGTAAAGACCGGTGTTAGGCAGGGTTGCTTTCTCTCACCCTTTTTCTTTCTCCTGGTGAATGACTGGATCATGAAGACTTTAGCATCTGAGGGGACGTATGGAATAGAGTGGACAGCTAGGATGCAGCTGGACGATCTAGGCTTTGCAGATGATCTGGCTCTTCTGTCGCACACGCAACAACAAACACAAGAGAAGACGACCAGTGTAGCAGCAGCCTCAGCAGCAGTAGGTCTCAACATACACAAAGGGAAAAGTAAGATTCTTCGATACAACACAGCATGCAACAATTGAATCACACTTGATGGAGAAGATTTGGAAGATGTAAAAACCTTTACATATCTGGGCAGCATCATTGATGAACACGGTGGATTTGATGCAGACGTATAACTTTCGACACGAATAAACACCTTTATTAACTATTGTTTTGAATTACTCTAGAATGTGTCTAACGGAGGACTTGAAAGTTTATCTATTACTAATATACTTTTAAGTTAGAATTCAACACCTCACATTTCTTAAGTTGAATTATGACATGAATCATGTTATATCACATATTGCCAAAAATAAATTTAAAATATAAGCTAATAGATTCCAACTGAATGATTTGACACTATTATACTCATCACATGGTATAATTGTCTTCATTTCAATTCTATTTCTGAGAGGAATAAGAACTGGGTTAAATTAGTTATCTAGTCTTCCATTATATTTTCAACAATTCTCTAACTAATTTAAATTTGCCGCCTGAGTTAGTTCAAAAAATAAATTTCATTCAACGATTCATTAAAACAATATACTGTAACTAACTGTTGAAGAAATACAATAGTATACCAGAAAGATAATAAATGAACAGAAATATAAAGAAAACCTTTGAAACAATAGAATATATAGTTAGAATTCATTATTAATTATTTATATATGATTAGATGGGGAGTTTTATTTGGTATCGTATGGAATAGAGGACATTGGGAGAAACACAATTAATTATTGATATATATATATATATATATATATATATATATATATATATATATATATATATAAGATTGAAAATAGCTCTGAACTTAAGTCATTATACCAATGGGGAAGTTAAAATGGGAAAGTTACCATAAGAGGGGGGGAAATTTTTTAATCTTATTGAAAATTTATGATAGCAGATTCTAAGAAATAATTACAAGAATTGAGGAACTTTTGTTTAATTCTATGTAAAATCGTCCAAGTTAATTCTTAGACTAGAATATAAAGCTACCTTTAGTCTTTCTTAGTTTTTGTGTAAATGTCAGTTCCTAACAGCAACAAAAAAAAAAAAAAACAACATCGAAATCTTCATAAAATAATCCAATTTCTTGAATGTATACAGATGACCCAATGTAAACATTACTCCGTATTTTTTTGGAAATACTTTATTGTATACATAGAATACAAGGTGAACAATGTGTTAATGCACTTCATATTTTATTGGTGTGCATAGTATATCGTCAGTTTGTTAGTATGATAACAGGAGAACTTATTTTACTATTCTTACAGTTTACTAATCTAATCAGAGATGAGACTATAACGTTTTTGTTTCAGATAGTGATTAATATCTATGATTCATCCTACTTAAAATATCAGATTAAGATCAAATAACTTTTTTAATACTCTTCATATTCAAGATATGGTGTGTGTGCTACTTATATCGACATAAGTAGTATATGAAGTTAGTCAGGAACAGAATGTCCGGCAGCAGAGACAAGAGGATCGAACAGTTAAGAATGGAAACATAATGCAATTTGTATGAAAATGCGAGAGCAATGAAGTCTGAGTCATTTTGAGACAATTGATGGTCATTTTGCAAATTGAGCATTTACTTTATGGTTGTTAGATTTTATTAACATGTTCTGTAATTACTACAATCTCCATAAATCCCCCATCCTGATAATGATTTTTCTTTTCATTTCATAGAATTACATATTTCAGTGTGATTTTCATTATAGATTTCGTTTCAGGTCTTAACTTTTGCTAGAACTATATATTTTTTTGTTTGATATATCGGTCTACACTATACTGAATATGTTCATAATATACAGTTGCAAACAATTCTAATCAAGTTGAAATCATGAGTCAGTTGAAGCCAGACCACCATTGAAAACCTGGAAGCAATGGACGGTCGTTTCTTCCTAGTATGGGACTCCTCAGCAGTGCACATCCACGAACCCGCCCCCCGCGGGATTCGAACCCAGGACCTACTGGCTCCGCGCGCGAGCACTTAACTTCGTGGATTGGTTGAAGCTAGACATTTACACCGTTGGATGCCGGCTCAGTGGTCTAATGGTTAAGTGCTCGCGCGCGAAGCTAGTAGGTCCTGGGTTCGAATCCCGCGGGGGGCGGGTTCGTGGATGCGCACTGCTGAGGAGTCCCATACTAGGACGAAATGGCCGTCCATTGCTTCCAGGTTTTCAATGGTGGTCTAGCTTCAACTGATTCATGATTTCAACCTGTGAAATTTCCTAAAATCTCCACAAAAACTCATTCTGAATTCTAATCAAATATGTAATATATGTCATTAATTGTTAAAATACAATAAAAATAGGGTAGATTATAATTTTCCCACTTTCATGATAACTATACACATAGTTTAACAATACATTGTTTCATCATTCATAAAACACAACAAGAGAGGTAAGAATAATTACGGAAATAATTGATAAAAAAACAAAATCAATTAATTTTGAAGACATTAACGAGTTCTTTAGTATCAGGAAGTTAGTTACCAAGGTACTTAAACATAACTGA